AGGAGAACTGACATTTTTAATAAGCAAATGCCGTTTGACGGAGGATAGCAGTCAGTGGGAGGGTGGATAAAATTTCAATTTAACCAGTCAGCATAGACACGTGATAGTGTGACGCTTAAGACTTTTCCAAATTTCAGCTGAGGAGAGACGAAACAAGATACTAGATAGATTTTATAGGCAACCATTTTATAATAAACGACTTTAGTGAGCAGATATGTGCTTTTTGGTTAATTCTCGGTGAGCCAGTAAATTTATATAAGTAATGGAAACTAAAACCTGAGGACAATAATAGCGGTTTTCCATAAACCTGGTGTGTCGGAATGGACGTGAAAGAGCCGTGCCTGGGAGGAAGGAGGGAAGATAGGGTGCAGAGTAGTGCATGCCAAATACCGGTTTCCACAGCCTGGTGGCAGTCGCTTCTGTTGATGTTATCAGATGCTAACCCAGTGACTGGGGGAGGGGGCAGTCTGGTGAGTACTTATAAACCACAACGGCGGTTTCGTGTTGAGTTTCACCCGATGCCCGGAACAAGCAATGTGCGCGAGATTTCCGCTTTTATGTCCTCATTCTAACACTTCAATAGCCTGCGGTGCGTTAACCCCCAAAAAAGTATTATGTGTATTATTATGTGCAACGAGTGTGGATATAATATACATTTAAACCGTTTAAATCAGCACCGACATGTGCCAGTGTGTTGCGTTGGCCGGTGAGACGCTTAAAACTCTTCCAAGGCTGAACCGAGGAGTGAGGAAACTAACAGAAGTTAGACAAACGTCTTTCCTGAGTAATATGGATTTCCGTGTGGCAAGTGTAATGGTCTTTGGGTAAGTAACCTGGTAAAACCGTAAGAAAATTTGAACCACTCAACAGGAATGGGATGCATTCCGATGAGTCAAACTATGGAAAAATGGGTCCGGAATAAAATAGATAACCTCAACTACCCCTACTAAAATGTATATAGTAGTTGTTTAAGTATATTTTAAAACATCAACTGCGCACGCTACACTTATTTAACAAATATTTCTTCTTTTCACAACTAAAAAGCATAAAGGGGCTTGCATTAACTTCGGAAATGCCTGATTCTAATAAGCATTGGAGAACCATTTAGCAATTGCGTTGTCTGTTCATTTACTGGTGAATTATAATAAAGTCTGTGTCTATTGAACAAAAAATCACCTTCAGAAGTTTTTCGACATAAACAGACAGCCGGTAAATGGTACGTAAAGTTGGGGTGTTTACCTATTTGTTCTCATTAGTATGGCTACAATGTATGTCCGCTGCGACATCATCAGATAAGCGCGTCAATAACAAACGTATCCGCTCGAAGCAGGGGTATTTCGGGTCTCATATGATGATCGAAAATGACAGCTCCACGAATTAACATTTAAGCGCAAATTGATGAAAAGTAGGAGAGACTGCCCGGGATTTAACACTCAATTTTTGGCACCTTAACGGTTATAGTTCAACGCCTGCTAATAATAAGTGAGTAAATTGGTATGAACCAACTCCTCTATGCATTGTGGCCACAATCTGTGCGTGTCGCACACTATCCTACGGTTACCTATGATTAAGGATTCTCGACAGAATCGGAAACGTCAGGAAAATAAAATTCTTGTTCCAGTGATCTCATCTTCTTCGTCATGACCTCTGCCTAATTAACGCCAATGTAGGTACGTCAAATGGAGTCAAAATTTGACAGTTCAACTGTCGCATGCGACGATTTTCATCGTGTGCTCTGTAGGCTGGTGGTGCGGTAACTTTGACTTCTGTGTGGATTATTTTTTAGGTGATTGTAAGTTTCTCAAATTGTGTTGATGAACGGACCATGGTGTTCGGATCAGCGGTCAGAAATTTGAGCCGCTGAAACAGTCACTTTGCCAGTCTGTATGCTAGAGTGCCTTTCAGCGGTACGATGAGTGGGAGGGGAGCGCCCTCTTTGTCCACTTTGGGAGAGTCACAGAAGCGGGCTAGGGCTGTTTCTTGCGCTCGTGCGTCTGCAAGACGACGTTCTCTCGCTCAAATTCCTACTACTCCAACGAAGCAAATACGATAAAACGGAGAATCGCATCGGAAAGGCCCAAGTCCGGTAACTCCTGAAGTTCTGTCTCAGGACATACTTCACGTTTGACGCAACAGGTGAAAGGTAAAAGGAACACCTATGGGTTCAAGGATTTCGGAATTCACTGCCAAGGCAACCCTACAACGGATAGAATGGCTGATCTTCCAACACCACAGATCGAAATTCTGGGCTCGGTATGTGGATGATAATTTCGTCGTCATCAAACGGGATCAGGTGCTTACGTTCAGCATCTCAATAGCGTCCTCCTGGCCATACTGTTTACGATGGAGGATGAAGAAAATAACCAGCTGGCTTTCCTTGAAGTCCTCGTCGGCCGCATAGGTTGTGGTGGCCTGAAGACCAGTGTGCAGGAAAGCGACAAACACGATGCAAGTACTGGACCTCAATAGCAACCATCCAATTAGCCACAAACGCGATTGCGTAAGGATGCTTTATCGGCGTGTTGAGACGCACTGCAGTGAACCAGAAGATTCAGTTGCCGAAATACAATATCTTCGACGGATGTTCAGAGAAAATATCTACCTGTGTCACTTCATCAACCGGTGCATGCGCGAACGATATAGGCCACAAAATCGCACCGGCCCCAAATTTTGGCCAGCGATTCCCTACGTAAAAAACGTCTCTGAGGCCGTTCACTGCCTTCTCGCACTACTTGGAATTTGACTCGCACACAAACCGGAGGCGTCAGATTGTTAAACTAAAAGACGCACTGCCACAGCAAGAAACATCTGGAATTGGCTATAGGATCTGGTGCAGTTACGGACAAAGCAACTACGATGAAGGAACTGACAGACTTTCTTAGACGCGAAGCGGCGAACACGCAGCAGCAGTGCAAATAAACGACGCAAACCGCCATTTTGCAGCACATTCGACGAGACCCGGCCACATATTCACCTTTGAGGAGGCTGAAAATCTCGCGAGGTGAAAATCGGGTGAGTTCCGAGTTACTCGAGCCATGGTTC